ATGAAACCTTGCAGAAGGCATGCTGGGAGTGGCAAGTGGAAACTCATCCTCATTACGGTCAGTGATGGGGAGAGAGCAAGGCTCTCCGCAAATCTTGGTACTGGAAAAGTGAAAACCACCAAAACTGTGGAAGGTGTTCAGGCTTTTCATGATAAGGGACATGGCAGAGCACCAAGTTGTCATCAGAAGGCTGGGAAATGTCTCTCAAAGGAACTGGCTTGTGTGAGTGTGTATAAAGTAAAAGAGGTGAGTTTGGTGGAGGGCAGAAATGAAGCAGACATGAGATCCTCTTAACCCTGAAATGACAAAATTTGTCATAAATGAACTTCCATTCCTGTTAAGAATCAGGAGGAAGGGGAAGCAGCAGCACCATCAGAATACTTCCCTTTCCAAAACCCCCAAAGGTTTTTGTGGTTTTGGAATGACTCCAACCCATTGAAGAGGAGTGAACCATTTAACTTCACATCTGTGTACAGCAGAGAGAGGCATAAAGCACATCAGTCTCGCTGGCTCGGAATAGGGAGGTTATCCCAGAGCATCTCTGGGACTCCTTAGCTGCCAGCAGCCCTCTGCTGACCCCAGGATCTGGCTTTCCTGCTGTTCCCTGTGGTGACAACACTGCCATTCACAGCCTTCCCTTCAATTTTTTGGGCAATGATCAGTACAGAGTGCTGGCTATTGAATTGCTGCTGGATTTCTGCAGCACCAGAGCACTCCTAGGAACTTGCTCAGAAGAGCATCCCTGGCTTCAGTGCTACACCCTGGTTGCGCTGGGCACCTCCAGCACACTGCCTACAGCAAAGCACACTCCTCAGGAAGCTTTAAACTTATATCTCAGGACCTCTCTGACACCATTAATTATGGCTCCTCAATTTATTCAAATTAGGACTCTGTATCTAATAAAATAAAAGAACTTAAAGATTACTTTATTGATTTCCAATTGAGGCAGCTTTTCCGTTTGTGGACAAGGACAATCTATAAAACACAGGCTTTAATTAACCCTGGTGAATACAGCTGATGTGAAATGTCAATACCCTCAAAATATTCAACACAAACAGTTGAAGGATCTTCTCAGCTCCCTCATATCCACCCTGCACATTCCCCTGGGTGAAGAGCCACAGCAGAGGCACTTCCCTATTGGGCTACACTGCGACAGGGACAGAAACCTCTGCTACCACAAGCATCTATTCCTGCCAGTGTTGGCTATGTCTGCTGACGTGCCTGTCTGTTTACCTTCATCTAGAGGACTGGACTAGACCTTTAAAGGTCCCTTCCAACCTCAGTCACTCTATGATCTTGTTCTCCCATGGCTTTGCAGGTAGGCAGGACAAAGACTCACAAGTAACCTTTCATTCTGTGGCTGTCACATTGTGGCTGCTGCATTGTGCTGGGCCTGTTCCCTGCAACAATCTCCTGTAACTTAAGGCTTTGCTGCATAGAGTTTAGTCAGTTACTTGATGTCAAAGCTACTGAGGTGCCTAAGCAGGGCAGCCCCATCACAAGCTCTGATGCACTTCCGCACTCTCACAGGTGCCAGAATTCGGGTTTTTTGTCAGCAGCACATGATCCAGACTTTTTATCCTCTTCTTTTTGTCCCCATAGGAAGACCTTCCAGAGGAGAAAAAAACTCCCCAAATGCACTTTCTGCACAACTCGTGCAAACTTGGGGGGCTGTGTCATACCCATCCCACTCCCTTGGTTTCTGTCTTTGCTCTACCACTGCTGTTGGTCCCTGTGCTGTGGGACAGACTGCAAATGGCCCTATCCTTCAAAACCTGCCCCAGGGATTTGAACCTGCAGCATCTTTTAGGGAAAAGAAAGAATCAGCAATTAGGACCTCTGGCTGGCCAAAGGTTAAACACAAACTTGCCTGTGGGAAAGTGTGTCTGACTGCCTCACATGGCAGGGCTTCTGTAGCAGAGATGCCAGCTTTTGGGGCCTGTCCTGGTTTTAGCTAGGGTAGAGTTAGTTTCTTCTCAGTAGCTGTTACAGTGCTGTGTTTTGAATTCAGAATGAGAATGCTGTTGAGAACACACTTGGTTTTTGCTAAGTCGTGCTTATCCTAACTCAAGGACAGTTTTCTTCCCCTTGTCTCATGCTCTGCCAATGGGAGGGAGCATAGCTGGGACAGGCCACCTGAACTGACCAAAGGGATATTCCACACCATAGAACATCATGCCTGGTAGATAAACCTGGAGCAGTTACCCAGAAGGGGGACTGAGCTGTATTCGGAAAGGGGAGTCTGGCGTCGGTCAGCAGACGATGAGCAATGGTATTGTGCATTACTTGTTTGTTTCTTTTTAATATCATTATTATTATTTACCATTATTATTATTATATTTTCAATTATTAAACTGTTCTTATCTCAACATACAAGTTTTACTTCAGTTCTCCTCCCCATTCCACCATGGGTGTGGGGGAGAGAGGGGAGGGGGAAGAGGGGAGGGATTAAGCAAGCGGCTGCATGGTGCTTAATTTCCATCTGACAGGGCCACATCACAGCACACAAGGGAACAGCACTAAACAGCACAACTACAGAACTCACCCCCACAACACCCCCCCCCCAAAAAAAACTACTAAATAAAACTAGTAGGGAAAAAAGAGCTATGTGGGCAAAGAGCATTTTGCTAGTTTTCATCTCTGCTTTCCACTGTGCATTTATTTTCTCTAGATTTGTGGTTTTCTAATAGAAAGGCAACTCTGTTGTTGTGTTCTTTTTTATTATTAACAACTTTCACCTTTCTCATTACATCAGTAGGACGCTTCCTCGGTCAGGGCTGCTGTTTCTCTAATGAACATGGCTCATTTGTCTGTCTCCCTCCCCCTCCACTCTGCTTTTTGTCTGCTTGCTCTTTGGGTAGTAATTTGGTGTGTTGAGCTCTCACCACCTCCGCTGCCCCTAGGGCTGGAGTTCTGACGATGCTAAACAGTTAAAATGCAATGCAATTACAGGCAGTGCAGAATAGCAGAGAATAAGCCAGCAAAAATTCAGCCGTGCATAACGCTGCAGAGACGGTGTGCCTGTCAGTCTCCAACTCCAGGAGATAATTTGGGCTTTTTAAGAAGCAATAATTGAGCCTTTTGCATATGCCACAGTTATGAACTAGTCAAAAGCCTGTTTGCCCTGCAGCCGGGAGCACCAGATGGATTGAATAGTCCCTGCAGTTCTTCAGGGGTGCCAGCTTTACACTTCAAGAATTTCTAGCTCCTGTACTTGTAAGTTATTCCTTTGACAGCTTTTATGCATAAGAGTGCCTTGTCTGAATTTAGCTGGCAAAGTGAGGGAGGAAGGGTGAAGAAGAGTTTGTCAAATGAAGCCCAGGTAGCTGGGGGGAGTTCAGAGCCAGAGTTGAATTCAGTTGCTCACATCATCCCAAGAAAAACCCACATGAGAGAGAATACCATTTCTTACCCTCAGCCCTCAGATTACGGCAAGTGCAGGATGCAGCCACAGGTGCCCCATGCCAGCCAGTTTGATCACACTCAGACTCTTTCAATCCTATTTTCATTAATTCCACATGCATAGTTCCAAAGAAGACTCAGTGCTGTGAAGCTCAGCAAAGAGCTGCTACTAGAAACAAAGTAAATGGAGGGAGACTTTTCCCCTGGGATTTAGCAGCTGACCTCAGCAGAGGACACACCCAACGCAAAGGGCAGAGAGGAGGTGATTGCAGGCACCTGCAGCTGCTCTGCTGACCATCAGGGATGATTGGCCTTGCAAGTCAAATCCCAAGGGTGAGCTACAGAAATCTCTAAAAGATTACCAAAAGAAGCCCCCAAAAGATGATATTCTTGACTAATGATAATTTGTACTAGTCTCACTGAGGATTGCATTTCACTTCTTGTGTCAAAATGTGCCTTTGCTTGACTCAAGCAAAGGTTCTGGCTTCAGATATTTTTCCCAAAATCTTCACAGGGAAGTGCAGGTAGATAGTCTATTAGAGAAATACATATTAAGGCTGTTCAGAGTAAGTAAATACATTTTTGAACACCCCTGATGGTAGGCAGTAGTGGGTGGCTTGTTCTGCAGAACAAAAACCCAGGCATGTTTCTTATTGCTGGGGCTGCTTTGCTTTGGCTGATTTGGAAGTGTAGGTTCCGCTTAGCCCTGCAGTTAGAGAAAAGACCACCTTTCAACACCTTTTAGTCGGCACTCGCTGGCCATGTCCTGTGTATCTCCCTGTGACTGATGGGGACATTTGTTGCCACCCAGCACTCTGGGTCTGCATCAGCACTCTGGATCTAGGAACCACTGCTGGCTCCTCATTCCCTCTGGAGACAATCTGCTTTTGCAGTAGGAAAGGTAAATGGTGATGATGGTGATGATAGTGATGGTAATGGCCATGGTGGTGGTGCACTCCCTGGCGGTTGCTTTATGTCTTTGCCTCACTGCTTTTGCTCACTGCTCTCTTCTGTTCTGTAGGATAAATGCGGGACACAGCAGTTTACAGTGCTACATTCTTGCTATTGCCGTGAAGCTTACAGGCTTTTCAGAAGAGGAAGAGCTTCACATAAGCTGGTAGTGCTGCTGTCATCAGCTGACAGCGGAACATTATAATCATTGTAACCATATATAAACATAGCAAGGAGCAGCTTGGACCATAAACAAGCTCTCTAGATACCTACCAGTTATTCTCAAAGAAAATAGTTTTCTTTGGATGTGTGCACAACCTGCTGCTCTTTCAACCTACAGAGCACAGAAATTTCAACATTTGCAGCAAAACATCCACCTGAGTGCATCCTGAGAAATAGAAGGCCTCTCACCCCAAGCAGTGACTGTTTCTTTTTCCGCATACAACACACACTGGCCACAAGAACTACCAAGCTTATGCCTTTAGCACCTTTCCCCCAAAGTCAATGACTACAGTGTGGTGAAAAGAATGAGCATTTCTGACTGGTCAAACCAAGAGTGTTATTTCCACTTACTGAAAGATGTCTCTGTCCACCAGCAAAGTCCAACATAGATGAGCAGACACACTTGACTATATTTATCAATACTTTATTTATAATTAAATTCAGGAAAAATGGAACTATATACAAGAATAACTATATACATGAAGGGAAAGGTCTTTACATGGCCTATCCCCCAAGATCCATCTGAGTCTGTCATGAGAAATAGAAGTGCTCATATATAAATGGGATGATACCGTTCATGAGTGAGTTCTGTCCTGCAGATTGGACACGTGCTGGCAGTCTCAAGGGCAACAGGGAGGCACTGACTGCAGAAGACATGGCCACACTGGGTTGACAAAAGCAGTCGTTCACTTTGCAGAATCTGAAGGAAAGAAAACCACAACATGTATTGGGAGGAAAGAAATCCAACTTGCTGCTCTGTTGGCAGCAGAGAAAGGAGACTTGGAATATCTGGAATCAGTCCATTACTGCTAGAATGATGAGGTACCCAGAGAGCTGCCAGTGCCATCTTGGCAGGGGTTTCTCTCTCTATGTACAGCACCAAGAAGTGACTTGTGGAGCTTCACAGCAAGGCCTGTGCTTCAAGCCAGCTGCCCGTAGCAGCCCATGTAAGACAACTGAGTTGCACAGCTCCCCCTCTGCCCCCTCCCCTCTCTGACAAAGCAGAAAGGATGACAACATGTAAATCCTTACCTCTGAGTAAAAATCCCTGCAAATCGGACACCTAATAGTACCTGCTGGCCATGCCCTAGAGAGAACAGAACCACGAAGAACATGCAGCCATTAATATCACTGCGCATCAAGGGTTACCGATATATAAAATGTCACATAATCATCTGACTGCACTGACTGGCTATTGTACATTTGATTTGAAGAACCCTGCAAATCTTTAACTCTCTGTTTGCTGCACATAATGAAGAGTTTGGATCTCCCTGATCTAAAGGAAATAGCATTTTGGTTTTCATTAGGAGAAAGGTGCAGTCAGTCACCCTGCTCTAGGATTTGAAGTAACAGCAACCTCTAGCACCAGGCAGTCAGTGTATGGCAGCATTAATCTCCAACAGGTCATCAATAACAGCTTTGAAACTAAAGCATAGAGCTGTCCTTTGGGAACTATTAATTGCAGAAGGAAACAGGGCCTGATGCTACAGAGTAACACTGCAGACAGCCTTGACAAGCCCAGCCCCAGGAAGGACCCTTTGGTCAATGTTAAATGTGCTCTTTCAGCCTGAGCTAAACAGAGCGGGAAAGTGCCCTCAGTAACAGAGAAGCTTGAGATTCAAGGAACAAAATATTCCTTTTTTTATATTAACCAAGTGGTGGGATTTGTTCACTGACATGCTTTAGCAACCAACACTTAAAGATCTACAAATCAAATGGCAAAATGCATTATGGTTTAGAATAGTAGAAGCCCTTTAGGTGGTGTATTTAAGACCTGACACCCAAAAGTACCATACTCAAGTTCTCTCCTACATTGCCTTTTATCAATCCAAAAGGTTCAAATATTAAAACCTACATGGAATTTGCCCAGCTGCTGCTTCCAGTCCCATGATACCAAGCCAATGAAAGTATTTCCATATCTGACATCACTACTGGAGCTTGGCAGGAAAAGCAAATGCAATACTTTTTGAGCTATGGCCTGTCATTAATCCCCCTTTCTTGCCATACCCCCATAGTCATCTTTAAGGTTCTATGCAAAGTTGTGCATCTGCCTTGGGCTGCCTTTTTCTCCTGAAGTGCAAATGGTATCATTTGATCATCATGCAACACAGGAGAAAGAGGGAAGTAAGTAGAGTAAGTGAAGACTTCAAAGATAAGCCAGGCCATAGCAGTATAACTTCATCCTGCCCCTATTAAAAAAAAGAAAAGAAAAAGGCAAAAAATTCAGTCACATACACATCATTATCTATTGCTTCATCTTCATCATTGCTACCCCGTACAGAGCTGTCTGACTGTCGCTGGCTTCTTAGTGTAACGTTTCTCCTTTGTTGTTCATATTCTGTAATTTAATTTTGATAAGTTAGATCTATTATTCTCTCTCTCCCTGAAACTACACTTGAAATGTATTATTATAAATAGTCTGTAATGGTTCCTATTCAGCTGGGTTAAAAGCAATCTTAAACAAACTAGTTTCCTAAATATTAAGGCTGAACCCTTCCAGATATTGTGACTCTTCTGCTACAGACTGACACAAAACATTTGCTCTGTTCACTCTACAGACAGCTAAAAATATGACCTGAGAGACTCTCAGTGTCTTAAGTTCCATAGAGTTGTACTACCCGTAAATAAATCTGCCCTGTTAAGGGAAGCTCCTTCCCCAACTTTTACTAACAGGGTCTGCTGCGATCCTGTGGTGAGGAAGGGCAATAACTGCTGTCTGCAGTCAAGTTTCAAAGGAGCACAGCAACTTAGCACATACACAACAAAAAGGCCTGGAAAAACAGAGTGCTTTATTCAGAAAGTTTCATAAGGGACAGAAGAGATGCTTAATTCTAAACCTGTTCATTCTAGAGCTGCTGTGCTTCCTCATTGCTGTATGATGCTAAACTGTTGCACTCTTCTTGTCTGTGTTAAACCAGACCTCACCACTCAAAGGAAGTTTCTATCCAATGAGCCTTGTTAAGGACAATTCTTGGAAATTATAAAAAGATTTGAAGCAGTGTTTCCTTAGAAATTGTAATAATTTCCCTCCTGAGTTAAGGTAACTTGAAAATGGAGTTATATTGCCTAGTTTCAAGGGAAATCAATTTTTAATGGCCTGGTCTGTAAAATATAGGGAGTCAAGAACTGCTGTTTGATTTCTAAGTCTCAGAAACTGCAGGTAACAATGGTCTCTGCTACTCCAGTGTCCATGCAACAATAATCAAGTATTAACCAATTACAATTACAGAAAGTGTCACCAAATTAAAATTTCTTCCTGCATAAGTATTCAGCTACAACTTTTATTGCAAGGATTTTCCACTGTGTCTGATAGTGGCTTTCAGATAAAGATTGGATGCTTTCTCTAAGACACTGGCCAGAGGCTTTAGCATTGTCCTTTGTCTTTTGCTAACACAGTTGCAATCCCTGCTGCTAGAGTTTCTTGGAAAAGACAAACAAAAAATAATGATTAAATTTAGAACAATTCCATTATCAACTGTAAAACATCAACTCACCTTCAAGAAGCTTCCTCAATACATATGTGAAGGGAGAGAAAAGAAAATACAATTAGACGTTGGTGCGAACTCCTGATGTTGCATGCAAACAGCAGTTCAGTAATGCAGTTACAGTGAGGAATGGATGGTTATTGCCCTCTTGTTTTGGGTAAGAAAGTTCAAAACAGGAGTCAATTAGCTGCTGTGCTGAAAACAAATAAATAAGTGGGTCCTGTTGGTTCTCCTTCCACTGCTGCAATAGGGTAGAAACAAAGGCAATATAGGAAGAACCCGAACACCCCCCTCCGTGCTCCCCTGCTTCAGTTCCCTAGCTGGATTTAGGCTGGAGGTGTTTGTTTCCCTCTTTCTCATCCAAATAGGCAAATTCAGCTGTGATAGCCATAAACACTTTATGTAAGATGAACAGCTGCTGAAGAAAGGAAACCACAACAGGGACTGGGAGGAAAGAATTCCTGTTGGCTGCTCCGTTGGCACCAGGCAAACGAGATTTGCAATCTGGAGTATCTCCAATCTGTCAGTCACCGATAGAACTATAAGGAAAACACAGATCTGCCACTGCCATCGTGGAAAGGGTTTCTCCCTCTATGTACACCACCAAGAAGCGACTTGGAGGGTCATGCAAGTTGGACCATCACAGTAAGGTCTGTGCTTCCAGCCAGCTCCCCACAGCATCCCACGTAAGACAAGAGTTGCACAGCTGTCCCTCTGCCCCATTCCCCCTCCGAAAAAGCAGAAAGGATGACAACATGTGGATCCTTACCTGTGAGTCCTCATCCACCCAAAACAGATAACTTGCAGGGCCTGCTGGCCCTATGCTAAAGAGAACAGAATCAGAAAGAACAGGCAGACATTAATTTCACCATGCATCCAGGGTTACTGATACATGAAATCTCAGAAAATTAAACATCCGCTGTTCTGATTTAGCAACATCTCAGCCCAGCAACACAGTCATTCGAAGAATTTTTGTGTACTGTAGTGTAACTCAAGTCATTCTGTAAGAAACATTTGATAAGGATGTCATAAATGGAGGAGAAAAACTTTTCTGCTGTATTTTGCTGGTTGGTTTTTTTTAGTTAGTTCTCTTCCAGACAGGCCACTATATTTCAAGTCAGATTTTTTCACACAGGATCAAGTAGACCCCAAAAGCTTGGTAAAAACAGGTTTCTACTGTAGAGCAGAAATTGGACTTTAGGGAGAGACTTTCTCACATACTCATCATAATCTCCTTGTTCCTCTTCATTGTCACTCATCAGTAGCACTGCTGAATTATCTGCTGCTCTGAAAAAACGTGGGTATTGCTGGCTCTGCTGCCACTGCTGCAATGGGGTAGAAATGGAGGCAGCTTAGGAACCACCTGAACACCCTCCTCTCTGCTCCCGTTTAAGTTCCCTGATTGGTTTTGTGCTGGAGATCTTTCTTTGTCTCTTTCTCCCCTCCTTCTCCCCCAAATGGGCAAATTCAGCTGTGATAGCCATAAACACTTTGTGTTAAATGAACAGGTGCTGAAGAAACGAAACCACAACAGGGACTGGGAGGAAAGAATTCCACTTTGCTGTTCTGTTGGCACGAGGCAGACAGGACTTGGATTATCTGCAATCTGTCAGTCACTGCTAGAACTGTAGGGAACACAGATTTTCCAGTGCCCCAGTGGAAAGGGTTTTTCTCTCTACACACACCTTCAAGAAGTGACTTGGGGAGATATGGTAGTATGAGCTCCGAAGCAAGGTCTGTGCTTCCAGCCAGCTCCCCATAGCATCCCACAAAAGACAACTGAGTTGCACAGCTCCCCCTCTGCCCCGTTCCCCCTCCCACAAAGCAGAAAGGATGACAACATGCGGATCCTTACCTGTGAGTCTTCATCCACCCAAAACAGAGAACTAAATAGACTTGCTGGCCATGTGCTAGAGAGAACAGAACCAGAAAGAACATGCAGACAATAATTTCACCATCCATCAAGGGTTACAGATACATAAAAGGTCAGAAATTATAACGACCCCAATTGTAATTTAGTAACATCCCAGCCCAGCAACACTAATTCCCAGAGCTTTTATGTACTGCAAGCATTTCAGCATATAGCAAGCCATTCTATAAGAAACAATGATGTCATGAACAGGGAAGAAACGTTTCTGCAGGATTTTCTTTAATTACATCTCTTCCAGACATGCTATTATATTCCAGGTCTGAAGGTTTTGCATAGAATCAAACAGAACCCAAAAGCTTGGCAAAAACATGTTTGTACTGTATATCGGAAATTAGACTTTAGGCAGTCACTTTATCTGTCACATACCCATTATTGTCTCTTAGTTCCTCTTCGTCATCACTCATCAGTAGCACTGCTGAATTATCTGCTGCTCTGAGAAAACGTGGGTATTGCCAGCTCTGCTCCTGCAATAGCGTAGAAATGGAGGCATCTTAGGAACTACCAGAACACCCTCTGCTCTGTTCCCCTGTTTCAGTTCTCTAATTGGATTTTTGCAACAACAGTGAAAGCACACGAGGATACAGAAAACAGCCCACAAGGGCTGGAATATGCATCAAATGGTGCTGTGGGCCATTCCAACCAGAGCACACGGCATTAAGGAAAGGACATTTCCCCGATCTCTTACCAGTTGCCTTACCAAGAAAAAGCCTATCCTGATGGCTTGCAAATGAGGAGAGTAGTTCACAGTTATATCAGACTGTTGCTCACACTGTAAGCATTTCTGTACTATTGCAAGCACCCAGAGAGATTCAAAATCTTCTATATCCCAGAACATGAAGTTACATGAAGTTTTAATAGGCTTCTGTTCCCATGCATTTGCTACAAACTCTTGAAATCCCTTCTAGAAGTACCCTGGAAAACATGTTTCAAGAATCAGATTTGCATTGAGCAGTGAAATACTTACTGTGCTCATGGTGTTTTGTGATCTAAAACCACTGGAAAAGCAAGCGGACAAACACCGAAAAAGGAATGTCAGGGAAGCTACAGCAATCAATCCCTTGGCTTCCTTTAGGTAGCACACTGCTACAAAGCTCTGATTTCTCAGGGTCGGAGAATGATATTCTTCCAAACCTACCAGAAAAGCAGAGAGGAGATTATCTATCTAGAATGCCTGTTCTCTGAAACACTCCCCTGCTCCAAGATTCCCATTCCCAAGTCACCAGGTTCTGCCCAAAGCTAGAGGGGAAGTCCATGAGTTTGGTACTTGATCCCACCTGCAGCTGGACCTGAAGCCCAGAACAGTCCCTCAGCCTCAGAAATCTCTTCAAAAATCATCTGTGCTCACCTGTACATTCAGTCCAGAGTTTTTCTCACAAATGTCAGCAAATCGCCTTCTGATCCCACCTGGGATGGAGAAGATGGATGCTCTGCGTCTGATGCCCAGCAGAGAATCCATCAACTGACTTAACAGACCCCTGGTAACCGGAGCCCTCGAAGCAGGACTCTCCAGGTCAACCGTTTGGTAACGTTCCATGCCCAGGTAGCAGGAGTCCACTTTGCACCCTCATGGAGTTCCAGAATGCCTTGCCTTGGAAGGCACCTTGAAGATCACCTAGTTCCAACCCCCTACCATGGGCAGGGATGCCACCGGCTGGATCAGGGTGCTCAGGGCCCGTCCAGCCTGGCCTGGAATGGGACTTTCCAAGGATGGGACATCCACAGCTTCTCTGGGCAGCCTGTTCCAGTGTATCACCACCCTCACAGTTCTTCCTAACATGCAATCCAAATCTCCCCTCTTCCAGTTGAAACCCGTTCCCCTTTCTCCTATGACTCTCTGCCTCCTTTAGACACTGGAAGGCTGCAGTGAGGCCTCCCCAGAGCCTACTCCTCTCCAGGCTGGACAGCCCCAGCTCTCCCAGCCTGGCTGCAGAGGAGAGCTGCTCCAGCCCTCTGAGCATCTCCGTGGCCTCCTCCAGCCCCACTCTAACAGGCACATCCTGTCTGTACTGGGCCCGAGCTATATGCAACACTCCAGATGGGGCCTTCCGAGGGCAGAGCAGAGGGAGACATTCACCTCTCTCCCCCTTCAGCCTGAGTAACACAGTAGCCTTTCCATGGCTAAAGAAACCCCACCAAATGCCCCACAAAAAAAAAGAAATTTAAACCCTTCCTTAGCCTTCCTCCTCCACGTTCATTATTCTGTTGCTGAAAACACTTATGAGACTGTTTTAACGTTAACCCTAGTAAATAGCAATTAAAATTAAATCAAAAGATTTTTTTTTCAAACTGCTGAAAATCTGACAATTTAGATCCTTATTTAAAGTCTTTGAAGTCTTGACGTTTTCAGGTGTTCAACTATTCCTCTGCCAGTATTTCACAACAGTGTTGGGAGGAGGTTTGCTCTGCTCCTGAAGACAGTACCTTCCTCCCAAGACCCTGCTCTGCTATGAAAGGTGACACAGCAAAAAAGTCAAATTAAAATTCCGTTTGCCTTCTAGCCAGTCTGCCACTGGACCTGCATTCAGAGGGATCAGCTGAGGCAGCAACCCTCTCTCAGCCCTGCCGGATACAGGGATGTTCCTCAGCCCCTGGTCCCATGGGTGTTCTCAGGTGTGGGGAGGATGGTGGAAAGTCATCCAATGCTGTGGATAGCATAAGGATATTTTTAGCTCATGCTCTACGTGAGGAGGATCATTTCTTACAAAAATTTCTCTGTTATTACAACTGTTGCTTTTAGGTAAGTGGCAAAGTGTTGATTGTTTAAGGATGGGTGAGGACGACTTTCCATTTTTCTCAGTCCTGTGTCTGGGAACTGAAGCATAGGCTTGTTTCTGTCACCGTATTTGCATCCTTCATTTCTCATATTCAGTGTCTGGAAACTGACATGAGGTACTTAATTATTCATCTATAAAATATACATTTGGAATTGCTCTAGCACCCTAGTATTTTTTTATCAAGCATTAAATCTCCTTTATGATTTTTTTAATCTAAATCTCTGCCCTTTGGACCCAACATTTTTGGAAAGCAAAAGTGTTTAAGTTGAGATGAAGCACAAGTGGATATGAAACATCTCACATGTTAAAACAAGGAGCCTGTTCACCCTCGCTCCAGGCACAGCTGAGGTTGGCTGAGTGGACTTAGCACCGCTTGTGTTTCAGGGAAGGACTGGATGGCTTTTAGCAGGAATGTGTCTTCAGGAGTAAGGGAAGAGGGAACACTGAGGAAAAGGAGGGGCATCTTTTAGTAAGTCAAACATTTGAAGGCTATTGGGCTTGATCTCCCTCATCGCTGCTAGACAATCGCAGCAGGGGGCTGGTAGGCCTTTACTGTAAGGCCCAACATTTTTTAATTAAACCTGCTATTGAAAATATTCATCACTCAGTGGTGGGACAGAGAGAAACTTTTGTCCCTTCTCTGCACATTCTAGGGAAGCTGTAAAGGCCACATACCTGTTTTATCTTCTCCCATGTGGGCCAGCTTTGAAGCAAAGTGTAAGACCACTGAAACAACCCCTGCCTTTCCATTTTGGGAAGGAAGAAGTTTACATCTATCAACTTTCAAAAATAAAAGGTTAATTATGGCCAATAGCCTAAACTAAGCCCACATTGAGCTGGTTGGGTGTATTAATCACCTGGAGGTACAGCATCAGCATTTTCACATGATTGGCTATGGTTTGCCAGGAACGCTTAGAAGGAAAAGTCACCTCAGGAAGTGAGAAACCCACAGTTCCCTGGACAGGGGTTGTCAGCTCTCCCAAATCAGTACTATCCCAAATCAGGGCTACCCTGGGCATCAGAGCAAGGACCATAAAGTAATTTAAGAAGGGTGGCTGTAGTATAGGATGCCATATATCAAAGTAACCTGCTGCAGAGCAATCACAAGAAAATCTACAATGACATGAGAAAACCAACCTGTCACCCCAGTTGGGTCGATGCTGCCTCTCTCTCTGACTCACTATCTTTAATAACCAGAATAGTTTTGAGCTGTGGGTAGACAAACAACTGCACTCCACAAGGCAGCAGAGGTCCAGTAACCAGACCAGTCCTTCAGCCCCATCACCATGGCTGTGGCTGCCCTCAGGGCTCCTACCCACAGGCAAGTTGGTTTCTCTACCATATGGACCCACCCAAGCAAAAGAGGTTCTGATTGTCCTCATGGGCCGCCAGGGATGTGTGGCTGGTTATTGTGAGACACCCGGCTCTCCACACGGCTCAGCACAGGAACAGGGTTGCACTCCCCAGAGCAACCTGGCAGACCAGTCCCTCTAAATCCACCATAGGGATGCAGGGACATAGGCAAGAATTACCAAAAGAAGCCCCAGAAAGATGTTATTATTGACAAATAATAATTTGTACTAGTCTCACTGAGGATTGCATTTCACTTCATATGTCAAAATGTGCCTTTGTTTGACTCTAGCAATGGCTAGAGTCTTCAGAATATGTTTCCCAAAATCTTCACAGGGGAGTGCAGGTCTATTAGAGAAATACATATTAAGACTGTTCAAAGTAAGTAAATATGTTTTTTAACCCCTCTGATGGTAGGCATTAGTGGGTGGCTTGTTCTGCAGAACAAATATGTCTCTGATTTCCTTCTCTCAGTTTTTTCTAATTCTCCACAGACATTTGAAATTCTTCTGTAGAGTCTACATGGGCTGGAAAGCTGAGCAAGATTTATACCTTGCTTTGAATCTGAGACAACATCTATGACTGAGCTTGTAGGAAAATGTGCATATAAGGCTCTTCAGGCAGTAACTGAATGGGTAATGTCTTTCCATATAGCCTCTGTTGCTTTTTCATACTCAAGACCTAACACTTGGAAAACTCATCTTTGTAAACTGCTTTCTGTGAAGGCAGGTATCATATAGTGCTTTATATAGTGTTAGGCAAAAATTACCTTTAAGGATTGGGTCACTATGGTAACCGTTCTTATCTCAGAGTCAAATAGCCGCTATAGTTGTAATTAAACAATATATGATTTCTATGAAGAATAATTCTGAATTATAATTCCTTTTCTGTCACATGCTGGAGTTATTTTTATTGCCCCCAAAGGCATCAGGATTTGTTATAATTCAGCAATGCTAAACTTCAACCTACGTTGAATCTACTAACAGAAATTGCAGTCAATGACTTTTGACTTCAGTCTCTTAAATAGTTCAACAGACTCCAGCAAAACATCAGTAACATTTTTTGTGGAAAGCAGAAAATAAACAAGGTCTTCTGAAACTTGCATTTCATCACAGCTAGACATGTATCCTGAGCCCAGTGGTGCACAGAGAGGGGCCCAGGTTTGCTGCTGTACGCAGGTGGGTGGGCCACAAATTCAGATTTTCCTTTGGCTTAAGCAGAAGCTTTATTTAAAAAAAAAAAAAAAAAAAAAAAAAAAGAAAACCTCTTAGCTTTTCTTCCTTGGGTACTTTTGCCCATCACTTCTGTTCCCAGGATCAAGGTCATTCATGGAAAC